TGCCGCAGACCCGGCGAGGTGCTCGAGCCCCGGGTGGGCCGAGGGACCTGTGCAGAAGGGAGCCACTCTGCCTGTGGGAGCCTGCAGGATATTTCAAAACTTCCGGTGTGTCGGGCACTGCTGGCACCTTCACGCCGAAGTTGCCTCTAACCTCTCTGTTGCACACATCCTTTCCTTTAAAGATTTGAATGTAGCTCGGATGACTTTAGAACTCTTGCAATCAGATACTGCTCCCGTACCAGAGCTAGCAAGAAATGTTGAACTAACGTTGCTGCCTAGACCGAGCTGAGAGTGTTGCGGGCAAACTTAGTAAATCTTAGTTGCAGTTGCTGTTGCTAATTTTCTGCGGAGACACGAAGAGAAATGTAGACTTCTTTCTCGTTACCTGGGTCTTTTGATCCCTAGCCCTTACAACGGTGTCTTTACCCTTAGGTTGGTGGAGTCAGGCAACCCGAAATCACGGTGTTAGACCGCAACATCTAATTTGCAGTTGTAGAGCGAGTGCCCTTAGTGCTTTTAACACTTCGCAGCGGGTGGACAGCTCGGAGACCGGCCCTGAGTTCTTTGCCTAGGGGGAAAAAAATGTGCATGTCATGGGTTACAGAGAGGAAGACTAGGAAGAACTCTACGCAGGGAATGTAAACCTATGATGTACTGCAAATGTGTACTAATAATTTTTTTTTTAAGAAGCTAAATAGTCCTCAGCATCCAAAACTAATGGCAAAACGTGTGTTTCTTGTAGGGGGACCTCTAGTACACACACAGCACTCTTATTTTACCTGTAATTCTTGTTTAGTTATGTGGTTTCCCAGGCTGAAACTAACGGCAGAAAGTTAGAGAAAGCCTCGATAGGCATGTAGATTGCAGTGAACGCTTGACAACCTGATAAAGAAGTTTTTTAAAAGTTTATATCTTAAAAACAAAAAAAAATGGTCTGGGGGAGTAACTTAGTGATAAAAGTGCATGCCTGACATGCAGGAGACAGTGGTTTCAATTTCCACCACAGGAGGAAAAATAAAAGGCAAATTCACTGTAGATAGTAGCCAGGGCATTTTGGAAAAAGGGCCTGCTTCACTAAATTCTAGTAACTGATGTTCACAATAACGAATACTGGAGCCAATAATGTTGGAAATAATGCCCCCAGAATGTCGAGTGAAGATTACATTGCAGAGTTGGTTTAAGAGGGCGCAGTTACATGAATATGTTTTAGGAAAAATCCTTCCAAAGTAAAAAGGATGTTTAAAGGGTTAAGTTCTAATTACTGATACTAGAAAACTCATTTACCAGAAATACCCCATAAATACCCTGAATAAATGAGATGGTTTTATGTTTTGTTTTGGTACTGGGGAGTGAACCCAGGGCCTTGCATGTGTGAGGCAAGAACTGTAACCGCTGAGTTACATCCTCAGCCCTATTTTTATATTCTCAGAGTGACCCAGGCTGGCCTCAAAATTTGGATCATCCTGCCTCAGTCTTCAAAGTAGGAATTAGTTAAAGGCATTTTACACCATGCCTGGTGAGATAGTTTTACATTTGTACAGTTACATATGTATTTGTGTCAGATTTGTTCTCTTAAGTTCCCTAAGTAAGTGCTTCTAAGAGGCACATCTCATCAAAGTACAAGAAAGAATATAATTTGGTAATGAAATGCTGGCTTTACAATACCTTCTTAGTTTTGTGGACTATTGTGGGACCTTGAACCTTGATATATTTACCTCCAGAATATCTCCTTCCTATAAAGAATCTTAGAAGTCAGTGTTTTGTAGAATCTGTCATTGAGTCTATATCTTTGCTGTATTTTCCTACTACTGTGGCTGTATTGGAAACCTTTATAATAACTACATTACAGGTATGTTACTGTGAGAAATGAGTACAATTTATAGATACTTTCTAGTTTAGTAGGAAACTGCTTTTTTGGAGGGTACTGGGGATCGACGTCAGGTCCTTATTCTTGTGAGGCAGGTGGCAGAACCACTGAGTTAAATCCCTGGCCCAATTGCTTTTTTTTTTTTTTTTTTTTTCACTCATTGAGTTTATTGGTACATTTTAGATATATAGTACAGTTACATTCATCATTAGGACCAATCGCTTTTTTGTTTTGTTTTGGGGTTTTTTGTTGTTGTTGTTTGTTTTTTTTGAGACAGGGTCTCACTATGTTGTTGAGACTGACCTGGAACTCACTATGTAGCCCAAGCTGGTCTCGAACTCACAGTGATCCTCCTGCCTCAGCCTCCCGAGTGCTGGGATTACAGGTGTGTGCCACCACACCCGGCTTTGTTTTGTTTTTGGTGCTAGAAATTGAACCCAACACAGGAACTGTTTTTCTACTAGATAGAAAGGTAATGTATGTTGATTGTTTTAAAACAAAAAGTAACATACAGAATATGAAAGACTTCTCTAATTCTTCATCTTTGAGATAACCCATTTAGTTCACAATTGTTCAGGTTATTATTTATTATTTGCCATGCTATAGATCAAACCCAAGACCTTACACATTCTAGATTCAACCAGTGAGCTGCATCCCCAGCCCTCACTTTTTAAAAATTTTTATTTATTTATTTATGTATGTATGTATTTATGTATTTATTTAGTAGTACCAGGGATTGAACTCAGGACCTTGCGCTTGCAAAGCAGGCACAGTACCACTGAGCTAAATCCCTGGCCCCCTCAGTTTATTTTCTTTGCACATATTCACACTGTTTCTTAAAACTGAAAAATACAAGTTTGCTGTGCATGTTATTCTGAAACAGGGTTTTTTTCTCCCCAGTACTGGGGATTGAACCCAGAGCCTTGATGCTGATCTATAACCCCAGCCCTTTTAAATATTTTTTACTTATTTATTGCACTACGAGAGAGTAAACCCGGGGCTTTTGCACTGAGCTACACCCTGAGCCCTTATTTTTTTGAGACAGATTCTCACTGAGCTGTTGAATTGCCCAGGCTGAGCTAAAATGTGTTGTCCTCCTGCCTCAGCCTCCTAAAGGACTGAGATGTTTCTTAATATAACTTGGAGATCTTTCCAACTAAATTTGAAGGATTTGTTTTCCCATTTTGAGAACATAACACTCACATTTTAAGTTAGTTGACCAGAGTTGTATTGTCCAATGCAGTAACTACTTAAAGCTATTTAAATTATTTAAAATTATGCAAAAGTTTAGTTCCTCAGTGTCAGTAACCACATTTCAACTGCTCAGTAGCCACACATCAACAGAGATGGTGTATTATGCAGCACAGGTACTGTAGGTTATTGATACCATCTCAGAAAAGTCAGGTGCACAGTGCAGATCTAGAGTACTCACTATTTAGTATGTGATGGTAGTTTTGATAATCACCTACTTCCTGAGTCTCTTTTAGGATCTGAATTCTGTCTATATTTCTTTCATCTGTTCTAATTCTTTTGTTTTGTTTTGTTTTGATTTAGTTTTTTGAGTCATGGTCTCATTATGTAGTTGAGACTGACCTGGAACTCACTATGTAACCCAGGCTGGTCTGGAACTCACAGTGACCCTCCTGCCTCAGCCTCCCGAGTGCTGGGATTACAGGCATATGCCACCACGCCTGGCTCATGTGTTCTTATTCTTAAGTATCTTTTTAGTCTTTCCAGAGATCTTCATCCCCAAGACTGCTGTCACAAATCAGGCCATTGTTTCTTTCTTGGATGACTGTGGCCTCCTGCTGGTTTCTTGCTCCAGTCCAGCTTCTCTTTTGCATTCTTTACACTGGAACCAAGTGCTTCAGTGACTTCCTGTTGCCCTTAATATCTGATGCAGACTTTTTTCCTTTGTGGTACTGGGATTAAACCTAGAGCCTTCACTCTGAGCTACATCCCCAGCGATTTTTTTTTTTTCTTATCCAGACTTTACTTCAAAGGAGCTTACAAGACTCTTGTTGGATTCGCCCCTACCTAGCTGGTGGACTTCATCACCGTATTCTCTTTTATATTCTCTATCCTGACCAGACTGAATCCTCTTTCAGTACTGTGATTTTGAACCCTGCCTCTTGGCCTACTGATTCTGTTGTTTACTTTGTCTGGTGCTCCTTTCCCATCCCAAGTTCACTTTCCTGGTTAAATCTTACTTTTTCTTTGGGAACCAAGTTAGGTTAGATACCCCCTGTTCATGTTACTTGAGTCCCATGCATCTCTGGAAATCAGCATGTAAAGCCCATTGTTGAAATTTCTTGTTTCTTGTGTTCTTTCACTGGATTTTGATTGACAATTCAAGGCCTGTGTCTGCAGAGTTCATTTGTTAGAGCTTGAAAAAATATATATATATATTTTTTGAAGGTAGTCTCATTGTGCCATTTAAATTGGCCTTTATAACTCACTATGTAGCTCAGGCTGGCCTCGAACTCGCAGAGATCCTTCTGCCTCAGCCTTCCAAGTTCTGGAATTACAGGCTTACTCCACCACCACCAGCTCCTCAGTAGACATTTATTGAACAAAAACAGTGGGCTGATTAGTGGTGTGAGTTGGGATGGTTACTGTGGCCACAGACAGCAAGTTTAGGACAGTTCTGATGAGCCTTTTGTATTGTTCCAGAGACTAGTTTGTACAAGTTCTGCATTTTTCTCATGCAGATCCTGATTCTTCTTGGTTTAGATAAGAAACTTTGAAGTTCTGTTGCTCACCAATCATACTTACATGAATCATAATTTATCTTTTTGAGCCAGTCTATGTTTTATAGGTGTTTTTATATAAGGTTTCCCTGGGAGCCTTTACAAAATGCTGCTAGTGTTTCATTTCTAGTTTCTAATTGGTTTTATATACAAGACACGGAGACCCAAGGGCTTAAGATTTAGGAATATAGTTAGTTTTGGGGGGTTTTTTTTGCTGCTGAGGATTGAACTCAGGACCTTACACTGAGCTGTGTCACCAACTTTTTATTTTTTGAGACAGGGTTTTGCTAAGTAAGTGGCTGAATTTCCTGGCTGAGTTTGAATTTGAGATCCTCTTGCCTCAGCATCCCTGGGTTGAAATTACAAGTATGTGCCACCACACCTGACTTCAGATCTTTTGGGGGCTCTGTTATGGGTGTAGTGCTGATGGCTTAGTTTCCATTGTGATTATTCATTACTGACCTATATCAAATTGCTTCCCTTAAAGG